AAAGAAGGGCGATATCCTGGGCAGGGATGAAGTGGAATCACTTATGGTAGAGAAACGAATTTTCGAGGTGAGTTTCATTACTGGATACTTTTTTGTGAAGGAAACTTTGATGAATTTTAATTAATTCTTTGAAAGGAGCATTGTAACTAACGAAGTGCTGTTTTGCGTGACTCAAAGTTTTTTTTACCAAGCATTTTTATATTGTAGATTTTTCGTTGGGATTATGCGCAATAAAGAACCTTCTACAAGAAGAGGTGGCCATCATAATATAGCGCATTAGTCTAGGTTGGAATGGTAGGGACGAGCAGGGTTACGAAATTTCAGATTAGGTTCGAGGGTGTAAACTTACATACTCGTCCCCCTCTGGGTGGCTTATTATGGTTCAATTGAGGGGAGTAGTGTGAAGTTTTGAGAAGCAAAGATAAAAAAGTATAACCCATAAGTTCCTTGAAGCATGAAGGTCACCTATATTTCATTATTTGTTAGCTTCATACTGCTTCAGGTCGCCTCTCGGGCTCGCCATCCATTCCTGGTGAACTTATTCGGTTGCTTCCAAACTGCGGAGCATGTATTCTTTGTTATGGAGTATAGGTGCGTCACCTTCATTATTTGGCAGCTTGCCAATTTTCCAATTGAATGTCGATCTTTCTCAATCATATCAAAGACGACTTACTCGTTTCCATTTTAGTATGGGCGGTGATTTAATGCGACACATCCATGATGACATCTTCACACATCCATGATGACATCTTCAGTGAAGAAAGGAGTTGTTTCAATGCGGCATGTGTCCTTCTTGGTCTAGAGTTTCTTCATAAGAACAACATCATATACAGGTAATTTCGCCGACCTCTGTTTTCGTAATTAATGTTCGCGGAGTTGTTTTGCTATTTTTCGATCCGAGCAGTCTCTCTAGACAGGTTCTCATGTCGGTTGTAAATTACTACTGAGACGGCATTCAATGCGTTCTCGGAGGGGTTGTAAGAATTTTGCAACTTAGAAGGGAAGAAGGCTATAAATGTAGGCATGTCACTGGGTTGATTGTTTTGGTATATTCAGACTTGGTAGATTTGCTCATTACGGGTGAAGCAAGGAATCAGAAAGAGGGGGGAGGGGGAGGGGCGGGGGTTAAAAGTAAAGATTACGACACTGGCACCAAATATGCTCCGCTCATATAAGACCCCGCCTGGATTCTACCTGTCTGACTCGGAAGAAACGAGCAGTCCCCCTTTTAAACTGCAGCAAAATTGAACTGATAGAAACTTTAAAAAGTGTGTTGCTACCTGCTCATATTCAGAGATCTCAAGCTGGACAACCTGTTACTGGATAAGGATGGATTTGTGAAATTGGCAGATTTCGGTTTGTGTAAAGAAGGCATGGGACCTTCGGATAAGACAAGTACCTTCTGTGGAACACCTGAATTCCTAGCTCGTTCGTTATTCGTTTAGTTAAATCGGTATATTATGAAATAATCAAATCCTTCCCACTGTTTCAGCTGAGGTTCTAACCGAATCATCGTATACGCGAGCTATCGATTGGTGGGGCCTGGGCGTGTTGATTTTCGAGATGCTGGTGAGCACCCGCTTGTTTTTACCATTTCATTGATCTGTTCACTCACTTTTAGTTTTTGTTTCACTTTCTTCTTTTCCTGTATTTTATTTTTTTGTATCTGTATGAAAACTATAGATTTCGAAACTTAGTATTGCGAACTTGCAGGTTGGAGAACCACCATTCAGTGGCGATGATGAAGAAGAAATTTTCGATAGCATTGTTAATGACGAAGTTCGATACCCGAGATTCCTTTCCATCGAAAGCATTTCAATCATGCGCCGAGTATGTTTTTTTCCTTCTTTCTTCATATTTTCTTTTTTGTTGCAGACAAGTGTCAAGTAGTAGTTTAAACTTTGAAAAGTTCAACTTCTTGAAATGTGTTGTTTTGTACTGGTAATGTGGTTCTTTTCCCCGTGCATTTGTAATTTTTTTTTCAGTTGATGAGGAAGAATCCGGATAAGAGATTGGGTGCAGGTGAAAAGGACGCCGAGGAAGTGAAAATGCAGCGCTTTTTCAAAGTAAGTTTGTTTTGTTTTCCTCCTTTTGTATATATCGATGGTTACTTTACTTTGACTCTCGAAAAAAATGTTGAAAGTAAAAGTATCCCTTTTCCACCAATTTCTTTGATTGTTTCCTTATTTATTATCAAGTTATTTTGAAAATATCCGAGTTTTCAGCATATTGACTGGCAGTGGGATCGTCTCCTTCGTAAGGAAATAACGCCAAAATTCATTCCTCAAATAGTATGTTTATTGTTTTCCTCTCGTTTACATTCATGTCCATAACCATTGAGATAGGATATGCACAAATATCCGTTCTATTGATGAACATGGAATTTTTTAGAAAAATCCTGAGGATGTCTCGAATTTTGACGACGAATTTACAAAAGAGAAACCACGATTTTCATCCGCAAAAGATAAGCATATCATCACGGAAGCAGATCAGCAACTTTTTTCGAATTTTGATTTCTCTCTAGTAGTCTGAAAGCTCCCTGTCAGATTGTCTCGTCTTTGTAATGATATTAACTAGCATGTTGAACTTCCATTCCCAAAGCGGTTGATTTGTTTTCTTTTATCTTTTTCGTGTTGAAAGTGGACTATATTCAAGCAGGTTCACGGAAAGATCATTTATTCCAGTTAGGCGAGAATAGCAAGCGTGTAAGGACTGAGTTCACTTTGGGGACTTGGGGTATGCAGCTTTACTCGGCAGTTCATAACTGGTAAACCGCGTTTCTGGTTAACGATTTGTCCAGTGGGAAAAATTTTCACTATAGAGAGTGATCTATTGCTAATCTCGCTTAATGCAGAGTTTAAAGCAATTATACTCGCGTTCTGACTGGTAGGAATCGCCCTTCATTTTTGCCTTTACATCTCATAAATGTTGCTCATCGATCTAGTTTATGCAATACTTATCGAATCCGGTCTAGTTGGAGTGACTAATGTAGTAAGTAGAGTTTTCGTGCTCTGTAAATGTGTAGTGTTTCGAGATAGCTTTCTGTTTTTCCTTTTTCTTTTTTGAAGAATTTTTTCCTTTCATGTAATGTTTAAAGATTCGGGGTTATTAGCGCTGCGTCCATGTGCATTTCATATTAATTACATAACAAAATGTATCCTCGTGTTCTGGCGCAACATGTTTGGCTTTTAGTATCATGATGCCTTTACGCACACACACAATGTGAGTAATTATTGTATGTATTACTGCATAGGAATGTTTTTCGAGCTTCTTTTCATATTTAGGATTTAGGTGCTTTCGAGGGTGCTGCTGGAACACTACCGATCGATAAATGTTCCATCTTTTAACACATCCTTCCTTAGTGGCACGGTTTATTTTCAAAAGCTCAGCTTCATCAATTGCGCAATATGGCTTTTTTTCATGTCTTTTTTTGCAATTCGTGTTCCGTATCTAATCGTTGGCAGGAAATTCATTTGTTGGTTCCAGTAAATGGTTTTGGTATATTTGTATGGTTTTTCTAGTTTTTTAAATATTTGCATAAAGTTTTCCTTTTCCACGTTTCGAATTGTCGTAGCGGTCAAATCATGAGCATAACTCTCCATCTTAATCAGGTTCAAAGCTTATTTTGATATAGTTTTAATAAAAGGTTCAGATAATATGTCAGATGAGAAGGATGAAGAGAATCCAGAG